GGAGCCACGACGAACGAACAGCGACGGGTCGGCAGAAGACGGCTGGAACCCAAGGTCAGAGAGGGTAGAACGAAGAGTGTCGTGCCACTCACGAGGAGCCTGACGAAGACCGTAGACAGGTCGCCTCAGCCTCCACTGGGTCCCAAGAGGGGAAGTGTCAGTGAAGGCAGAGGGACGACGCAGCCAGACCTCCTCGTGTAGGCTACCCTGAAGGAAAGCAGTGGAGAAGTCGAGAGAGTGTAACTCGTAGTCTCTCTGTGCTGCTACGTGCAGTAACACTCAAGGAGTGGTCATCTTTGGGGTAGGCGCAAAGGTCTGAAAGAAGTCAACTCCCTCGCGCTGACTGAAACCTCTAGCCACATAGCGCGCCTTGAAGACAGGAGGAGGTCCCGGTGGTCGCTTCACCCTGTAGATCCACATGCCATCGACTACGTTCGCCCCAAGGGGGGGAACCTCGTCGATGTAGGTGCCTGTGGATCTGTAGGAGGCCATCTCTGCGTCCATGGCAGCTCTCCACTGAGAGGCCCAAGGCCCTGACACTGCCTCAGCGTAAGTGCGAGGAGTCGGTATGTCAAGGGCGTCGGGGTCTCCCTCAGGGGCGAGCAGCATGGCACAGAGATGAGGGGAAGCGGCTGCCAGGAACTCTAGCTCAAACTGCATGTCCTCTAGGGCATCACAGCCAAGGGCAGACTCACCCTCGACGGCCAGAAGACTGGAAGGAGGAGCAGCCACAAGACCGGTGGCGTAGTCAACGCGGCGAGTAGAGGACAGTAAGGGCGGAGACAAAGGAGACAGAGGCACGAGGGTCGGTAACAAGAGAGGCGAGAACACGAGAGAGAACAGGACGGTACGTGCGGTAGTAGTCAGTGACAGGAGTAGAGAGAGAAGTAGTGAAGGCCGACTCAGGAGGAGACGGAAGGAGAGACGGAGACGAACGAGGCGGACTAGAACGAAAGAGGGCAGTACGAAGGTCAGTAACGAGAACAGGAGACGAGGGACGAGCACGAGGGGAGCGACGAGAGGCCCAAGTCTGAGAAGGAGGAGGGGACAACGGAGGCTGAGAACGAGGGAAAACATCCGCGGAGGGGTCAGGAGGAGGAAGCGGAGGACCCGGGACAGGAGGAGAGGGGGAGGAGGAAGGAGAGCGAGAGGGGAGACCGAGGGCCCGAAGACCAGAGACAGGAGGAGGAGGCGGCGGCTGCTGCTGCTGCTCCTGCGGCGGCGGCGGCGGCTGCTCCTCCTACTGCTACAGCGGCTCCAGGTGCTGTGCCTCCTGCTGCTGCGGCGGCTCCAGCTGCGGCTGCTGCAGCTGCTCCTGTTGCTGCTGCTGCTGCTCCTCCAGCCGCTGCAACTCTCTCTCCTCTCTCTCCAACTCCAGCTGCTCCTCACGGGCACGGCGAACACGAGCCTGGTGCCGGGTTGGGTAGGGGTGGGGGGCAGGAGTAGTGTCGGGGGCTGCGGCAGCCCCGGGTCAGCCCTCCAAAGCACCTGGCGCACCACCCCCAGAGTCAGCACCAACAGCAACACGACCAGGCTCACCAGGACCCAAAGAGGGTGCACCCGCACCCCCAGACGTAGCACCCCCAAAGTTAGGAGGACCAACACCAGCTCCCGGAAAACAAGAGTCTCCTGCAACCACGGGCCGCGGCAGACTGAACGAGTAGGCGCAGCGGTGCGAAGGAAGGGCGCAGCGGTGCGCAGCAGCAGACTATTCCGCCACTATCCCTCCTCCTCTAGTTTCTCCCCTCAGCGGCGCAGCAGCAGACTACTCCGCCACTATCCCTCCTCCTCTAGTTTCTCCCCTCAGCGGCGCAGCAGCAGACTACTCCGCCACTATCCCTCCTCCTCTTGTTTCTCCCCTCAGCGGCTCAGCAACGGACTACTCTGTCAATTTCCCTCCTCCTCTTGTTTCTCCCCTCAGCGGCTCAGTAGCAAACTTCTTCGCCCTTATTCCTCCGCGTCTTTTACCTCTCCCCTCATCTGCTCTACAGTTGTATCCTCCTCCTTATGGCAACCTCTCTCGCCCTCCCCTCCCTCCCTCTGCTGGTCCTTCAGCTTGCGCCTGATGGTAGCGCAGTCAACTTCCCCAGTTGGCTGAACTGTCTTGAGCGCACGCTGTCTGGCACCCTCGTGAGTGGCTTTAACCTCTGGTTTGTCACTCAGCAGAGTGGTTCTGGCGCCATTCCTAAACCTGCCTCTGCATCTACTTCTACCTCCTTCGACCCCTATGCTAATGGCCTTCGTGCTGCTATCGCTGAAACTGAGCGGATTGCGGCCACGGCCCAAGCCATTGCTGCGGCTGCTCCTGACAATGCTGCAGCCCGTGACCTCGCTCGTGTTCTTGCTAAGTCCCTCGAGAGCAACCGCAAGCACCTCACTGAGCACCTCGCTGCCCCCTCTCCTCGCTCTGCCTCTACGCCCTCTGCTTCTGCTCCATCTCACTCTGACCTTCTCGCTGACTGGCATGTTGCCAACGCACGTGCCTGCCAGGTCATCCTTGCCTGCCTACCTCCAACCCTTCTCCCTCAGTGCTCGCACATCCGCTATGCCAAGGACCTTCTCGGCTATCTTACTGAGCGCTTCCAGTCGCAGACTCCCATCAGTGTCATTGCCCTCTTACGCGAGCTCACCTCTCTTCGCCTTGCTAACATCACCACCATGGCGGACTACATCGCTCGTGTGCAGACGCTGTCCTCCCAACTTGCTGCTCAAAAGTTCGAACTTTCCGATCATGTCTGCGGTGCCCTCCTCCTCACAGGCCTCACTCCTGAATACAGTGTTCATGTCACCCTGTATGGTGAGCGCCCCGCCGACCAGTGGTCGTTCTCTCGTGTCTCTGCCTTCCTCCTCCAGGCAGAGCTCAACCTCCGCAGCTGCCCTCCTACTGCCGCCGTTGTTACACCCTCTTCCGCCCCCCCTCCTCTCCCAACCTCCACTGCCGCCGCTGCTTCTTTTTGCCCTCGCAACACCTTTCCTCCTTGCACCTACATCATTCGCCAGGGGCCCCGCAAGGGTCAGCCCTGCGGTTGCACCGATTATCCCGCCTCCTCCTGCTTCCAGAAGCTCACCGATGACTGGTTCCTGGCTGGCAACACTGGTCGCCCTCCCAATTGGTTTCAAATCCCTCGTCAGCGTCGCCAGTCTTCTGCCCAGGCGGTACTTGTAGCTGCCGACTCTGGTACCAGTGCTCAAACCTCTGCTCTCAGTGTGACTATGCCTAGTCAGGATAGCATTCTGGGGGCTTCTCCCCTTATGGACCCTCGTTTTGCCATGATGTTTGCTCCTTCTGTTAATGGCAATGATTCTTAGTCTTGGTCCCACAGCTGCTGCTCTCTCTCTCCCTCGCACTCTTGAGTTTGTTCTTGACAGTGGTGCTACTGACTTCGTTTTTTGTGACGCTGGTGTGTTTCGCTCTTTTCCCCATCCTCTCTCCATTCAAGGGGCTGAATATACCATGACCATTACTTGCAGTGCTACCTCCTCTCTTCCCTGTCCTGCCCCCCCTCCTGGTGCTGTGACTGGCCTCTATGTTCCTTCTTGCCGCCACAACCTTCTTTCTCTCTCTGCTCTTCAACGTCTTTGTGTGCGAGCTATCTTTTCTGAATGTGACTCCTACTGTGATCTCTATCATCGCGACCGCCATTTTGCATGCTTCACTCTTTGCCCTATCACTCGCCTCTACACTCTTCGTGTCTCTCTCCCCCCTTCTGCCCATCATGCCTCTTCCGCTTCTGCCCCTCCCTTTCCTTCTTGCGACTGTCGTTCTCTCACTCAACCTACCCATCTCCTTCATCATCAACTTGGCCGCCCTAATTTTCCAATTCTTTGCAGTATGGTCTCCTCTAAGCTTCTTCATGGCCTCCTTTCCTCTCTCCCCCCCCCTTCCTCCCTCTCCTTCTCCTCCATGCACGTTATCTCATCCCTCTGCTACCTCTGCCTCTCCCCAACACCTTGACCTTGTTCATATGGACCTCTGGGTTCCCCTATGCTTCTCGTCAGGGGCATCGATACTTTCTGCTTTTGCTTGATGACCATTCACGATTTGCCACTGTCCATCCCCTCCGTGCCAAATATGAGGTTCACTCCCTCATCATTCTCTGGGCTGAGCAGGCTCGTCTACGCTTTAAGCGTCCTGTCGCGCGCTTCCACTCAGATGGTGGTGGCGAATTCTTTAAACACTCTCTCTCCTCTTACGGTACATCTCATAGCATTCGTCAGACCTCCACTCTTCCTCACTTCCCAAAACAGAATGGGGTTGCTGAGCGTCGCAATCGCACTCTCATGGAAATTACTCGCTGCCTTCTCACCCATGCTTCTGCTCCCCACTCTCTTTGGAGCTATGCTCTCCTCCTGTATGGAGAAAGACGCGTCCAGCGTCCTGGACGCATGCGTCCAACGTCCTGGACGCATGCGTCCAGACGCAGGACGCTAGTTTCTGGCCCCCGAGACGCAGCAAAAGACGCAGGTCCGGGCAGCAAAAGAAAACCCCGGGCAGCCAAAAAACGTTATAGGGCAGAGGGAAAGAGGGGGGGGGGGGGGGGGGAGAGGGACCGTAGCACACTTTCATGGCAAAATTTCTCCTAAAAAACAAAATTTCAACCACAACACTAGAGCATGAAGGTGATGTCATCCTCATCCACCTCCACATCTCCATCCTCCTCAAGCTTGTACCCCTCGGGAAGGGGAGGTGGGGGAATGTTCCCCTCCACTATCCCCGCCTTCCTGACTTCCCCACTCAGCCCCGCACCAGCCGGGGTTGTGCACAACGTTCCAGTTGTGCGCAACGAACACAAGGTCGCGGACCTTCTTCAAACCCAACCTGTTCCTGCCCGCCGTGTACACGCCATTTCACACGGACCATCCGCGCTCGCATGGTGAAGCGGAGACGGGCTGTAATAGCGCCCAGCATGCAAGGCCAGCCAGGTCGCGGTACTCCCAGCCGTTCACCTTCCACCACGTCACCATGTTTCCCTTCCCGGCCTTAATATCCGCCCGCCCCTCTATTGCCTCCTCAGACCCGCGCACCCCTTGCCCTCAATGACCGCAAGCATCCCCTCCTGCAGCGCCTTCATCGTCCCCTTAGTGTCGCCGCCGCTCTTCCAATACTTCTTGACGAATGCCTTCGAGCGCTGGAGCCACGCCTTCATCACCCTGTTGCACTCGACGTCCTTGTGGTAGATCCCCTCCTCCTGTCTGGCCGGGTTCGGAATCCGGCCAACCACGTGAAGGGGGCAGGCCAAGCTCTCCCAACGCCGCCTCAAGTGCTCCTTCACCCCCTCCTTATCCGCCCTCTTGAGCCCACAATCATCCTTCTCCAGCAGCTCCCGCAAGTCCTCCGTCAGCCGCAGCATGATGTCGTACAACTCATCCATCCTCCCCTTCACCTCCCCATCAGTCCGCCTCATCACCTTGTAGGGCAGCTCCATCACCTTCACGAATGTCTCCACCTTTTTCTACCACTCCACGTCCAACACCCACGCCGCAAATGTCTTTCCAGTCTGCGTGCTACCTCCCTTCTCCTCCCAGTCTTTGTGCGTCACCATCTGCGTCAGATGCGAACGAATCTTGAGCAGCCGCGACACAGCGATGTAGTTCGTCCCAAAGCGCGTGCCCGCCGGGCGCAGCGACTTCTCCTCGCCGTGCAGCTCGGGACACCGCAGGAAGGCGCGCGTCCACGTGTAGCTACGAACGAACGAGATGATGTCGTTCGCAACAGGGACGACATCCTGCGCCCAATCCATCCCGCCGATGTCCTCCATCAACAGGTCGAGCACGTGAGTGGCGCAGGGAACGATCTCGAGATGCGGGTAGATCTTCTGCAGCTTCTTACCGGGGGACACGTAATTGCTGCCGCCGTCCGTACAAAAAGCGACGACGTGCTGCGGCCCAATCTTCTCAATGATCGGCTCCAGGATCCTCACAATGAACGCCCCATGCTTAGTCTCCGCCTTACAGTCGACCGCACCCTGAAAAACCGCGCCGCTGTCGTTGATACAAATGATGTTCATCTGTGCGCGCCCACTCTTATCACGCATCACGTCGCTGGCAATCGTCAGCCGGTCTCTGTCCAAGTTTTCGTAAAAGGCTCCAACCCCTTTGCAATTCGCCGCTTGCACTCCTGCAGCCCGACGCCGCCAACGTAGTCACGCTTGGGGGGGACGTAGCTACCTCCGGCGGCAGCAATGGCGTGTAGCATATTGAGGAAGAGCGGGTGCTCGCACTGACGCTCCGCCGTGCGCGTCCCCGCGATGTAGAGGCAAATTTCCGTGTCGGCCGCACGCGTCGCCGTCTTCCTCCCCTCGCCATACCAATCTTCCATCCGCCCCTTCTTAGCCTTCGGTCCCGCACCGCCTCCGCCGCTCACTGCATTGAGCGCCCTCGTCGCCCTCTCTATTTCCTTGCGCGCCGTAATCTTGCTCTCCTTCCCATCGCGAATAGAGTCAGAAACGTGCTTAGGAACCTTCGCGCAAACAATCCCGCCATCGCGCCGCACGTTCGCGTCGTTCCATTCAGCGAGATGCTGGGTGCATCAGCTACTACTAAAGACAAACTCTTTCTCGCACAAAAGGCACTCGCACTGCTTCCCCTTCTTGGACGGATCGTCGAAGTTCCAAAAATGCCTATAAATATGATGATTAGGGTTTTGCGGTTTTTTTTTCAACGCCATCCTTAGTTAAACGCTTGGGGGGAGTATCGCCGTCGGAAAAGGCATCGATGAGGGATTGCTAGAGGTAGCCATAACGGACGTGCGCGCAAGAGAGCTAAAACCACTAGGTTTTTTAAAGAGAATTGGGTTGTGAGAAAAGTGAGCACAAATGAGAGGTTTCATGAACTAAATGGGCTTTGTGGTGGTGGTGGGACACAAAGGTTGGGTTTTCTAGATGTGGAGTGGTGGAGAGGTGTTGGATGGCGATTTCGGGGGTGGTATCCCGAGGTCGACGTGGCTGGTGGGCGCCGTCACGGGTGAAGTGCCTGCGTTAGGCAAGTGACGGGGAGTTGGGCGCCAACCAGCTGCACGCACCTGCGAAGCTGGTGCACCGTTGTCCCGCGGATGCGACGCTGTGCAGCCGACATACTGCAGCGTTGGCGCACCGCGGACTTGCAACGTTGGCAAGCCGCGACTCTGCACTGCTGGAGCACGGTCGACTGAGTTGTGTTGGCACGCGGTCGACCGTGCTGCGCTGGCAGTGGACCAGCAAGCCTTGCTAGGTCTGATGTAGTCAGTGTTGCCAATGTTGATGCAATTCATTCTGAACTTTCTTGTTGTGATGATTTCCTAGTGAAACTCTTGCAAATTTTCCTTGTGAACTAGCAAGCAGTGTGAGCACTTGGAAACGACTAAGGACCAACGAACGCAGAGATCACACGAGCAACCGTGCCTAGCCCGTAGTCTAGCTCCCGTTGTACTAGTTATCTCCGCATGATGCGGTGAGCGTGGACGGCACCCGACCTACCTTTCAGTCTAGTCGACTTAGTTGCACCTTACCTAAGTTGTTCGTAGGCCGGCAGCTGTGCGGTTGTCACGATGGTAGTAGCCGTTGGTGACACGGGGGTGGTGGACACCCGAGAAGCACGGCTGGAAAGCGCGAGGAGGAAGCACGAGGCCAACGAGTATGGCGACCTGCCTTGGGCGGTCGTCGAGGCTGGCATCCGTTCCCTATGGGCGACGGAGCACCCTTCTCGGCCAGCTTCTCCTCGACCGGTGAACACCGAGGGCGGCGTCGACGCGGGCGTCAACGCCGATGGAGGCCAAGTCGGTAGCAGTGCGGGAGGCACATCGCGGCAGAGAGGTGTGATACACGCCGGTGAAGTCGGCGGCGTTCAGGCGCGAGGGATGCAGTCGTCGGCGGCTGCAGGGACCTCGCAGGGCTACGTCGGAGGACGACGAAGTGGTGTGGCGTCAATGTGCAAGGATGCTAAGAGGGTATGCAAGGTCAGGTCGAGTGCAGGTCATCAGGTACATGAGGCAGCCCACAAGCTCTGGATACGGGCCACTCGGCTCTACGGACTCATCCGAAGGCAGAGCTGAAAGCGAGTGACCGGTAGGCAGAGGAGTGGACTGAGGCGAGGAGTACGTGAAGCGAAAGCGCTGAAGGACCTGATGCACCATGTGTGACTGAGTCAAGGTGATGGTGCGCCGTGCTCTGTCCCGGGTGATCCGCAAGCCAAGATAGTTTGTCAGTTCACCCAGGTCTGTGCACGTGTGTCTCTTCTGCAGCTCCGACTTCACGTGGGCGAGTGCCGCAGTGTCAGCAGTGGCAAAGACCAAGTCGTCGACGTACACGAAGATGTAGAACGGCGGCAGCGAGGTGTCGGTGCGTAGAAACAACGACGGGTCAGCAGTAGAAGGAGTGAACCCAAGAGCCGCAAGTGTAGTCCTCAGTGTGTCGTGCCACTCACGCGGCGCCTGGCGGAGACCGTAGACTGGCCGCCGGAGGCTCCACTGGGTACCAGGAGGAAACGACCCAGTGAAGCCAGGAGGGCGGCGCAGCCAGATCTCCTCGTGCAGGCTGCCCTGCAAGAAAGCAGTGCTGAAGTCAAGTGAGTGAAGCTCGTAGTTGCGCTGAGCGGCTATGTGCAGCAGCACCCGAAGAGTGGTCATCTTCGGGGTGGGAGAGAAGGTCTGGAAGAAGTCAACTCCCTCTCGCTGACTGAAGCCTCGAGCAACGTAGCGCGCCTTGACGACAAGAGGAGAACCCGGCGGCCGCTTCACCCTGAAAATCCACATGCCACTGACGATGTTCGCCCCAGGTGGGAGAACCTCGTCGACGTAGGTGCCTGTGGACTTCCACGAAGCCATCTCTGCGTCCATGGCTGTCTGCCACTGAGAGGAGTATGGACCCGCCATCACCTCTGCGTAAGAGCGCCGGGTCGGGATGTCTGGTGCATCCGGGTCTCCCTCAGGGGCAACTAGCATGGACACAAGATGGGGCAAAGCAGCAGCAAAGCACTGGAACTCCTCCTGTCTGTCCTCAAGGACGTCCGTGCCAAGAGCACACTCACCCCCGACGGACGGAGGACAGACAGACTCAGACTCAGCAACAAGGCTAGCGGCGTAGTCTAGACGACACCGGGCAGCAAAGTCAACCAACTCAGCGACCAGAGCAGACGCAGCAGAGGACTCAAAGGTAGGGTCAGTGACAACAGTGGCGAGGAGACGCGTGACAGTGGGACTGGCAGCACGACGGGAGTCAGACTCCGGGTCAGGAAGAGTAGGTAGAGAGGACGCAGGAGGAGACGGCAGAGGGACACGCTGAGGAGCAGTGGAGGGACGCAGAGTCATGTAGTGAGTGCCGAGGAGGACGCTCACGTGGGACACGACGACCAGTGCGAGCAGTACGAACAGGCGACGCAGGACGAGACTCAGGCTCACGACGCTCCGTAAGACCTCCTGTGGGACCAGTGTAAGGGGAGGGACCAGGGAGAGGCGAGGCAGGCGGTAACTGTGACTGCGACTGGACAGGCGGAGGACACTCTAAGGAGGAAGGAGGACAAGGAGGAGGAGTCTGACCAAGAACCTGCTGAAGGAGCGGTACGAAGTAAGGTCGCTACCGCACAGCGTCTCCAGAACCAGTAGAGACACCAGCGGCAGGGTCCTCAGTACCAGCAGTAGCTCCAAAGTCGGGGTCCTCAGCACCAGCAGCAGCTCCACCGCCCGGGTCCTCAGCACCAGCAGGAGCTCCAACGCCCGGGTCCTCAGCACCAGCAGCAGCTCCAACGCCCGGTTCCTCAGCACCAGCAGCAGCTCCAACGCCCGGGTCCTCAGCACCAGCAGTAGCTCCAACGCCAGGCTCCTCAGCACCAGTAGCACCTGCAGTACCAGGGTCCGCAACACCAGGAGCGCCACTCCGAAGACTGCAGCGCCGCGTGTACCACTCTCGGATCCGCTGAAGGGAGGGGAGCTCCTGGGTAGGAGGGGAAGCACTAGTACCAGCTCCAGCAGCACCTCTCCTGAGGCTGCAGTACTGTAGGTACCTCTCCTGCAGCTGCTGTGAGGAGAGGGCTCCTCCAGGTGTAGCACTCCCAGGCTCAGTACCGCTAGACTCAGCACCCCCAGACTCAGCACCCCAAGGCTCCGCACCCCCAGGCTCAGCACCCCCAGGCTCAGCACCCCCAGGCTCAGCACCCCCAGGCTCCGCACCCCCAGACTCAGCACCCCCAGGCTCAGTACTCCCAGGCTCCGCACCCCCAGACTCAGCACCGCCAGGCTCCTCACGCTCAGGCTCAGCACCCCTAGCAGGACGAGAGTCGACAGCTACCTCGACAGGCTCAACCGGGTCTACCTGGGACACACCTGAGGGAGTGGCACCCTGAGGGGGGAGGGGGTCTACCACAGCAGCACCTGGCGCGAGGAAGAGAGGCGGGGGGGGGGAGCGGGGCAGTGCGGTAGGGGAAGAGGCGGTAGTAGGGGACGGACTCGTCAAAAGTGACGTCCTGAGAGGGCAGAACCCGGCGCGAGGTGACGTGGTAAAACTGCCAACCAGGCGCGTCCGGGACAAAGCCAAGAAAGACACAAGGAACAGCGCGAGAGGAGAGCTTGTCCGCGGACGTATCGCGAACAAAAGCTCGGGATCCCCGACCTAAAAACGCGACGCATCGCCAATCTCTCCCGTCCAATGCAGTGTCGGGGAAGTCTCCGGCAAGGAGACACGGGGCCAGAGGTTGAGCTGATGCGCAGCGTATCGGACCGCAAACGGCCACAGAAAGTGGGGAGCAGCCGCATGGATCAGGGAGGTACGAGCGACCTCCATGACCAAGCCAATGCGGCGCTCAGCAAACCCATTCTGCTGTGGAGAGGCCGGAAGTGTGAACGACTGCTCAATGCCGTGCTCGACATAGTAGGCTGCCAGGAGGTCGGAGGAGAACTCACCACCTTTGTCAGAGTGCAAACGCAGGACAGGAAAGTCCGAGCGGAAACGCTCGCTGAGCTGGAGACGAGCTCTGCGGATCCAAGGGATCAAGACATCAGGGACCTCACCCTTGGTGCGCAAGGGGAAGACCGTGGTGTAGCGCGAGAAGTCGTCAACAACAATCA